TAAAATCTTTATTAAATGTGTGTTCATGTTCACTGAAGTGTTGAATGAAAATATAATGATTTTTATGCTGCTCTTAAAAGAAATGGTTATGTTACTCCGAAATCTTATCTTTATTTAATAGAATTATATAAGACTTTATTAATGATGAAAAAAGAAGAGTCATAATAAAATAAGACTAAGTTATCTTCAGGATTACATAAATTACATGAGGCAAACAGTTATCATTAATGATTAAGTAGCAAATAGAGTTAAATAGTTTGTCTCAGATGAACAAACATAAGTTAATGAATATATATCTCGAATTAAGTATTCTAAAGCTGAAACAGATAAAATAATAAAAGAAGCTATTCCTACTTTGAACGCTGCCAGAGATGCACTAAATAATCTTAATAGAAATGATATTTTTGAAACTAAAAGTAATATTAATCCATAACCAATTTTATGTATTACTTTTGAACGCGTTGTTATTCTTTTTAAGATTGGGATTCTATAAAAAAACTATTGACTGATCCTAATTTCTAATCAAAAATGAAAGATCCTTTACTATTAGAAGATGTATAAGAATAATTAGATCACTTTTTAGAGCGATTATTTTTTAAACAATTTCATAATAAAAAGAAAAATGATAAAGATAGGGGATAAGATAAGTTGAATACGATCAAAATTTTAAATTATTTTTTAGTATTTCATGATAATTTAATCTAATAATAAATTTCCAATACTATAGAAAACAGTATTCTAAGTTCCCTATTAAAACTGTCTCCTTACTTAATTTGGATTTAAATGATTAAGCCTTCTTTCTCCCATTTCTAACCCATTGATTATTGATAAATCTCAAAAATTTTCTTTTCTTATACCATATTAGTAAATTCTTTTCTAATTCTACTTAAGATTTGTATTTCACCCATAAGTTTTTAGAATCTCTTTGTCAGATGAAAATTTAGTTGTAGACCTCTTTTATATATATTCAAATAACAAGCTACAAAAACATTCATTAATTTTTATAATACAAATAAATACTAATAGTAATCTCAAAAATAAAATAATATGCAACAATGAGCAAGACTTCAATATTTTAAGCAATAATTGCAAATAAATTATTATAAATATGAATGTAGTCATGACAAGAAAGAGAAAACGCAATTTACTTCTATGCTTCATTTTATATAATAATGCATGTTGTCTATTCATCATCATGATCTTCATTAACTCTCATCCCTTTTTATTCTGTTGTTATTCTTCTCAAAAAGGCAATAATATATTGGAGGGTGTATAAAGAAAAATAAAGTATATTAAATTGCATATTATTTTTCTTCATTTCATGGATTGCAGTATTAATTTGTTATCATTTTCTTATAACAAAAATGATTTATTCTATAATTCGTCGATTTAAGCATTTTATTTTATTAAATAAAATAATATTAGATTTGAAATAATCAAAATAGTTTTTGTATTAAATATCATCGCTCCTCTTTTTTATTTAAAAATACTCAAGAATAAAATGAAGCTATTTGAATTCAAGAGAGATAGATCAAAAAATTAAATTACTTTTTATTTATCAGATAAAGGCTTCAAACGGCAGAGCAAAATACGGGTCTAAAACGTTAAGTTACCTCCAATTAAATGAAAAGTCCACATCATTTGCGCAGTAATCAAAGATTGTAGGTGTCATACTTTAACAAAAGAGAAAATAAATTAAAGGATAAAGTATAGTCCCCTAGTTGCCAAAGCAAGGGATACATTGAATCAAATTTAGATGCATAAGTAAAATATATAGATCCTGATTTTTCTAAAATAGAATAAATAGCCAAGAAAGGATTCTACTTACCAATTGTTTGCCACAAGAGCAGCTTTCCACAAAGCCCATACGACTGGTTAATTATTAAGTATTCTAATTAAATTAATATTTACTTCTTCAAGTAAAGATTATGCAAATTAAATCATTAATTATTTGGATCATCCAGGAAAATTTGTTTATAGTAGATTATTTAGAGAAAGGTCATATAAAGGATTGAGAATTCTAAATAGAGATTTTTAAAATGATGACTTAATTTATAATTCTGCTCTCTCATATGCTTTTTAAATTAGCAATGCAAATCTATTAATTCTTCTTACTGATAATAAATAAGATATTGATCCTATCAAAGATAGGAATTATAACTTCTAAAATCAGAATTAAAAACTCTAATCTAATATAATATTATGATTTTCTTAAACCCAAAATTAAATTATTTAATTTATATGCAATTTAAAACTGCAATTGATTAACTTCTAATTCTAGTAGTCAATATCACTGAATAATGGAATCATTTATAACATTTATAATACTGCTTATGATTGGAAATAGGAATTAGATTAATAAATCATAATTAACAATCACATTTTCAAATTTAAAATCTGCTGAAAATCTTATAGGTATTTTGACAGAAATAGAGTTGAGATATCATAAATGTAGTAGGAACTCTTGATATTTTGATAAAACAAATTAATATTTACAATTTTTTAATAAGAAAATCGAAGATTAAAATAATTGAGAGACGATTTGCAAAGTTGAATAAAAAAAATCAATATATGATTGAAAAACGATTGCATTATCAGAGAAATAGGTTGGTGATATTGAATAAAATTTGATAAATTTAGGCTTAAATTGATATCTCAATAAGAGAAAATGGATTAAGTTAAAATCCATCATATCTATCTATAAGAACTAACGAGAGAGGGACAAAAGATTTAGATGATGATGACGATTTAGAAGAATTGGGAATAATAAAATATATATATAATTTAAATAAAATAAGTATTGAATAATAACCATTTACTAATTGACTCATTTCTAGTTAGACATCATTAAATTGGATATACTCTCCATTGCTTAGTATGACTAGATCCATAAATCAAACACCATTTTTAGATGCAGTAAAAATCTTTATAAGTCTGATTCAACATTACCAAAAAATTATTACAAGATATGAATTAACTAAAAATATTATAGAAAGTCAATAATTTAATACTAAAGTAAAATATACATTAGTCTAAGTAATACGTATCATTATAATAATGAGAACAAAAATCAAGGAATTTTTCATTAATTATAGATTTTAGATATTTGCAATATATATTCCAACTAGAATGATATATGTATTTTGTTATAATCCAGCACGCATTTGTTATGTTTCACTTTTTAAAAGTGAAAAGCTTTACTGCAATGGAAGAAATCCTTTTTCAAATAGATAATAAAGAAAAGGATTAATTTTATATCTTTGATGAATAATTTAATGATGTATTATTTTAAATTAATACCCCAACATAAAAAACCTTTCAAAACATCAAATATTGTTTTTTATGAGATTAAAAAGCAATCCTAAATTATTTATAATCACAATCATTTCAATAGGGTTAAGTTTGTTTCAAACTTAATTATATATGTGATAAAGGAAGTCTTAAAACTGCTATATTAGAATCTTAACTAATCAATTAATAATAAGTGACTATCTAAATTTATTAAGTGTAGCAATTTTAATAATTAGAAAAGTTTTAGAGATACCATTAAACTCAACAATAAGTTGTTGAAGATTCAGCAAAGATTAAAGAAAATATTGTTGTCAAAATTATTGATGGCAAAATAATTTATGGAAAATATTCTTTTATTTAGTAAGAATTAAATTTATTAAGTATTAATTGTCAAAAGCAATTAAAATATTATCCATATTATAAGAAATTAAAAAAAAATTAATAAAAATTCTAAATGTTCTGATTTCGATTAGTAGAATTATTAAAACCAAGAATAAATCAAATCATAATTTTTTAAAATTATCATCTATCTCTCATAATATAAAAATATTTGAAAAAAGAATAAATCTAAAGCTTGTTGAATTGGAAATCCAGAACAAATATTAAGATTAAGTAATTAGAAAGATTAAATTAAGCTTGTAATAGAAATAATTAATTAATATTAAATTAGCATTTTGTTTCATTAAAGACAACACAGAAAGAATAAACTTTTATAAATAATTTATAATATTTCAAATTTTGAATATATCTCAATATTCAAATAGAAATCAAGTGTTAAATTAGTAAAATTCAATCATTTTTAAAGATGAGCTCTAATAATATTAAATATATTAGAATCTGTAAATGATTTTTTGAGAAAATATATGAAATGGATAAATTTGAATATTATACTATTATTATTTATTGTGGTTAAGATATTTTATTTTTAATTAGTTTTGATGTTAATTCATCTGATTTATTTGAATGTATATTTGAGATGCTAATAAATTTTATTATTGCATATTCTGATAAGGTAGTGATGCATGAAGATAGAACCATTAAAGAAAAATTAAGTAAAGATAAGCAATAGGGAATTTATTGTTTAAATTTTATTTTTTATTCATTATATGGATATTCCATTTAAATAAATAAAAATTATTTTTAAAACTTACCCGACGATATCAACTTTAATGACAGTGGTCACATAATCTCCAAAAAGAAATAAACTCAATTTTTCCAAAAATAAAACATTAAACAAAATCTCAAAATTTATTAAATTCTTATTTAAATTGGTATAAAATTTTTACCTAGTGAACAGAAGAAATAAATAGGGGATTAGTCGATTAAAAATACTTATTAAAGTATATAATGATAAGTACGAGAATGGAATTTAGAGTAATAATTTATCATGAGAATAAATGATTGATTTGGAATAAAATAGCCCAATTAAAGGATAATAATTGGATCCAACTTTAGAGTTTTCTAAATTATTATACCATAATACTTTGAGGATGAAATGAACTTATCTAATTTATTTAATAAATCAATATTCAAAAATTTACTACAAGTTTATTAATTATTAAAGTTTTTCTTTTAAATCCTTTCAAGAAATATTCAACATTTTTACATATTAATGTAATTAAATTAAATAATGGCCAATTTTCTTGACCAGCAAGTTAGTGTATATAATTTCTTTATTTATAATATTGCAATTACATAGTTAGAATAAAATACAATTAATACTAATTTTAATCTAAAATTAAATTAATGATATGGATTTTTCAAAATAATAAAAACGCACTATTGTATTCTTAAAGTTCTTGTATTCAGCTTAAATATTAATTTTAGTGCAAATTTTACATGCTTAAATTCCAATAGATAGAATAATATATTATTAAATGCTAGTCCATAATTTTTTACTTAATAATATGACTAGTATTTGAGAATATTTTTTTATAATATTATTTTTTAGCAGGCTTTTTTTTTAACAATTTAGTTTGTTCATCCAAATTAAGTTTTTGAGAGAACCTTAGTTAATAATTCATTTAAAAGAATTAAATGTTGATTATAATATTGAGACTTTAATATACATATTCAGAATCATTATTTAAAATGAATGTTCTATTTTATATATAAACTATAATATAATGATACGAATTTTTTGGATAATAATCATCATTAAACATAATTAAATAGCTATCTCAAGAAAAATATTCAATAGGATTAAATTATATAAATAATTTTCATTATGTTTCATGAAATTGAATATTATTTTTTTCGAAATATCGAGAGAAATTAATTTAATAATTATTACAAGAATCAATCTTAATATTTTTATTGTTAATTTGGTCTCAAATTTATTTAATCATTTGTTCTATTAATGATAAAAGTATAACAAATAACAAAAATTATTGAAACTAAATAATTGAAATAAAACAAAATAACTTATCCAAAAGTTCCATTTTAATATAATAATAGGGATTAAAATTGATTTTTATTAACCTCCAAAATATACCAAATAATTTTTATAAATAATCACAGTTATGAATTTAAACAAGGAAGCTTTCAATTATGAAAGTTAATTAAATTTATCATATCCAATAATAAAATTTTGATTTCTTGCATTGGCAACTAATTAAAAAAATAAGGCTTCTTCCAAGAATTTTATTCACATTTTGCAAAATAAACAAATAAATGTATATTTTTATCTTAATAACATATAAAACTATTAGAATATAATTCTAAGTTATAATAATTAATTATTATGTATNATCTAATTTATTTAATAAATCAATATTCAAAAATTTACTACAAGTTTATTAATTATTAAAGTTTTTCTTTTAAATCCTTTCAAGAAATATTCAACATTTTTACAGACAACAAAGGTTCATTTTCTATACATATTAATGTAATTAAATTAAATAATGGCCAATTTTCTTGACCAGCAAGTTAGTGTATATAATTTCTTTATTTATAATATTGCAATTACATAGTTAGAATAAAATACAATTAATACTAATTTTAATCTAAAATTAAATTAATGATATGGATTTTTCAAAATAATAAAAACGCACTATTGTATTCTTAAAGTTCTTGTATTCAGCTTAAATATTAATTTTAGTGCAAATTTTACATGCTTAAATTCCAATAGATAGAATAATATATTATTAAATGCTAGTCCATAATTTTTTACTTAATAATATGACTAGTATTTGAGAATATTTTTTTATAATATTATTTTTTAGCAGGCTTTTTTTTTAACAATTTAGTTTGTTCATCCAAATTAAGTTTTTGAGAGAACCTTAGTTAATAATTCATTTAAAAGAATTAAATGTTGATTATAATATTGAGACTTTAATATACATATTCAGAATCATTATTTAAAATGAATGTTCTATTTTATATATAAACTATAATATAATGATACGAATTTTTTGGATAATAATCATCATTAAACATAATTAAATAGCTATCTCAAGAAAAATATTCAATAGGATTAAATTATATAAATAATTTTCATTATGTTTCATGAAATTGAATATTATTTTTTTCGAAATATCGAGAGAAATTAATTTAATAATTATTACAAGAATCAATCTTAATATTTTTATTGTTAATTTGGTCTCAAATTTATTTAATCATTTGTTCTATTAATGATAAAAGTATAACAAATAACAAAAATTATTGAAACTAAATAATTGAAATAAAACAAAATAACTTATCCAAAAGTTCCATTTTAATATAATAATAGGGATTAAAATTGATTTTTATTAACCTCCAAAATATACCAAATAATTTTTATAAATAATCACAGTTATGAATTTAAACAAGGAAGCTTTCAATTATGAAAGTTAATTAAATTTATCATATCCAATAATAAAATTTTGATTTCTTGCATTGGCAACTAATTAAAAAAATAAGGCTTCTTCCAAGAATTTTATTCACATTTTGCAAAATAAACAAATAAATGTATATTTTTATCTTAATAACATATAAAACTATTAGAATATAATTCTAAGTTATAATAATTAATTATTATGTAT